AAACCTTTTATTGAATTGTTACGTGATGCGTCATGACGAAAGTAGCGAGTTCACAACTTTTTCTATGCTCTAAATCAGCATCTAAAGCAAGCATTGCCAAGCAAAGGCGACTATCACAAACGCCTATTTATATGATTCCTGCACGTCAACCAAGTGAAGAACGCTATACCGCTGACCAATAGAAACGCCGTTGACGTATGGTAAAATTGCGATGTGTAGGCGACACGATTGTTCGCCTTCGGCTAATCCGAAAGCCGATGAGGCTTCCGACTTGTAAGTTATTTTTTTAAGCCGGTAATCGATAAAATGATCGATCTCAATGCAAGAGGTTCAGAATATAATATGAATTTAATATTAAAAGTCCTGTAAATAACATTATTTGCAAGAATATATTAATATAATAAATAATTAATTTAAAATAGTGACATCTGTTGAGATAAATTCGAACGATAAAGGGTTTTTAAGCAGATTTCTTTTACATTTTAGTTCCGTCAATGTTTTAAGCCAAATTCACTTTATTTTTGTGACTGTGTCAGGAAATTAATTACCCGCTAAGTATTACTGTATCATTATTTATTATTATTTGTTAGTATTAGAATTAGGTAGTACCTATTAGTTTGTATTAGAATTAGGTAGTATTAGTATTAGTATTAATCATTACTTTATGTATTACTTTATTTATATACATATATGTCACATAATATGTGGCTGTAGCCACTCTACTGGCACTAGTGGGTGTCGCCTACCCCAGCGCGGAAGGCACGAGCCGCCACTGCATTGTATCTCACTTTGTAGTAGCGTGTGTTATTAGTTGGCAATACGAAACAACGACCATTAATTTTCCTGCCCACCATCGTCACAAATATAACAAATTGCTTATACTTCAATTTATTATCACACTTTATATTTTATTACATTCAAGTTCTATTAATACCTAATTGTGAGACCACTTGAACCGAAGGCCTGCTCTTTTTATAGATAAAAAAGTCTTTTCACATAAAGTGTTCGAGTTAAGGGTCGATGGATGACGTTAACTTTCGATTTTAATATCGCTGACAAAGAAGCTTTCATTTTGAAATTCTAATTTTAAAAAAGAAAGTCTTAGAAACCAATAAAAACGTTAGTCGCAGTTGTCCAAACAGTCTCATATTGGCTAACCCAGGAAATTACGAACTTTGTAACAAAGTCTCGACGAGATTTTAGTTTTCTCCATGAGAATTATTTATCATTACTATACTCAGAGAAATATCATATCACGAAAGCATAGGAAATTATATTAATTTAAATAATCGAGTATATTTGATTCAAATAGAAAATTTTGTAGTTTTATATTCTTTTACCGACAGTTTTACAATGTAATTAAACACTTTTAAAGTGCACCCCCCTTAAAATAGGTATACGAAAAGAAATCTATTTATTCCATTGCGTTTCTCAACGTTGTTTCAAAAAGATATGCATTATAAAATTTTCATACACCTATTAATTTAATGGGACACACCAATGACGCAAAAATATATTTGAATCCCTTTGAATTATTATTGTTTTAGTGATTTTATAACATATTTTGTAGGTGTATGATGATTATACGACTTTATTTTTTTTAATTAATTTATAAATGGGGGAAAGTTTGGTTAGAACCGTCTGACAGATGTCAGATTTTATGGTTGTATACGGAACTAGTTTTTAACTATTCATACATTTTGTTATACTTAAAAATTCTTTATTAAATAAGAAAAAGTATAGTGTTTCTCTTAAGAAAAGACCATTTCCATCTGGATGAATTACTCCACTAGCCTTCAGCTATTTTATGCAATAGCCTACTGAGCACGTGGCTATTACTAGCTAATTGATTATTCTTGCGAATTGCTAAAATGAATATATAGTCTAATAGCTAGTAAGATTTCTTGTTGATTTACTGATATATACAGGGTGTCAGAAAAGTCGCGCACCACCTTGAAGGTGGATCTACATACCCCTAGAAATACCAGAAAATTGTTTAAAAAAATCTACCTTCATTATTTAAAAATATATAAAAGTCTAAACATGGAATTTTAAAATTTAAAAATAATAGATTTACCTTGTTTATAGTGTTTCAAGTACAGCCTAATGTAGGTACCTACATATTGTTCAAAACATAGTTTCATCAGGAATTAATGTTTTATATTATGAGAAAATGCATTTTAGGATTTTTCCTTTAACAAAACGCATGCGTTTTGCACACAGGTGGTCTGTGGTTTTGCAATATGATGTGCAACAATTGATTATCACAACAATTAATTGGTTAATTTATTGACATCACACCATAAACAATGATTGACAGTTAAAATTCAAAATTAGATTTTGTCAAAAACTTTTTCTGGGGTAAACAAATTTATTTTCAAAATAACTCATTTTTAATGCTATTCAAAAAATTAATATTGATTTGGGACCTTCTCAATACTTTTGATTCCAAAAGGTTAATACCTTTAACCTATAGGTAACGCTAACCTATGGATAACGCTTATCCGCGTTATACATGTATTCCTTTAGTGAGTATTGTGATATGTATCTTGTGTTTGGAGAATGCTTGAAAAATGCAAGTCATTTGGCCTGTAAGTTTGTAAATGTTCTGTTAATATTGGTTTAGTTTTCTCTCCTAGGTTTAATCTATCTTTTTATTAGTTTCTGTCAGGGACTTTCTGTCCAGTCTGAAATAATAGTTATTTGTTTTACAAGTGTTGAAAAGCAACTTTTTCATGCGAGTTTTTAAGTTGCCCACGAGGCCGTTAGGCCGAGTGTGCATTAACACGAGCTTGAAGAAAGCTTTTATTTTTTATTATTTTTAACACGTTGAATGCGGATGCTAAAACTGAGCCTAATCTTTCAAGTGCGGTATCGGTCTTCTGAGCCCGATGCTGTTAAAGTCTGCTGTGCGGTATCGGTCCTTGGGGACCGATATGTTAAAAAAGATAAAGCGACATCTGACGCAAAATTTATGAATGATATCAGTATTTTCTGTATAGGATTCTGTTTACCAATTCCCCCAACAGAAGTGACATCGTCAGCATCGGTCTCCGGGGACCGTAACCGCACAGAAAGATGGTTAACATTTAGTTACCTATATCATTTTTAAAATTATTTTAGCTTCAAATAAATTAATTATTGTTAGATCAAGAATTGATACGTAGATCAAGAATTGATACGTATACATTTGTAGAATAACACAGTTTTGTAATACTACACAACACGAAAGCAAAATTTGACAGAAAACAGCTGATTCAAATATAGGTCTCTGGGGACCGATAACGCATGTTAGAAATAAATATTACTCCAGTGCGGTACCGGTCTCCGGAGACCGATGGAAGGTTAGACGTTTGTTAAAGTTCTGTACCTCTTAAGGATCAAAAAGCCATATTTAATGCGAAAATAGAGGTTTTCGTTTCGAAGATACAGCTCCCGCACCATGAGTAGTTTAAGCACATATCTAGCCGCATAGAAACGCAGTTGCGCCATCGGTCCCCGGAGACCGACGACGCAGTCAACGTGTTAAATACAAAACAAAATAACCTAAAAACTTTTTTGACAGCTGAATGTCAAACGATGCTTTCCGGTTCTTTTCACACAGACCTGTCACTTTTCACACAGAAATGTCACTTTACATTCGTGTTTTGCCTTGCCAATGAAAAGATTCATTTTCTAAGCAACGATGCCATCATGAAAAGTGACTTTTACATAGTGGTCGTAGAAAAAATAAATAACCTCTAACTGAAAGTGAATTTATTTTGACACTCCTAATATTGCTGTTTGTTGTCATGATGATTAATAATTAAACTACCACCGTTTTGTTACTATTTAAAAATGATGTATTCCCTGTATCTTTTACAATAATAAAGATTAAATTTTTTAACATTATTCTGTAATTTTTGGAGATCTGTAGATATATCCACTAAAATACTGCTAGTAATTTGTTTATCAAAAAGCACTCACACGCTTATCAAATAAAAATAAATTACTTGACAACCATCTGGACAACAAAAAATATACTCACATGCATTTTAAAATTGTGGACGTTAAGTCAAAATCCACTCTGGGTTTTTACATTTTGTGCTTAGGTACTTTAACACAGAGCATTTGAGCAAAATGCAAAGAAACACAAAGTCAATATAGCGTACAAAACCGTATCGTGTATATTAACCGCTATTTTATTGTTTTAAAATTACACATTTTGCTTTTAAAATACAATATTTTGATTGTGGATTTAAGTTTCAAGTATACTTATAACCATATATGGTTATGGTTTGATACGAATATATTAAATTTTGTATTATGATAATGGTGTTAATATAGGTAGTTAATCTACATAAAATGTTTAATATAATTCAATCCGTTTAAAACTACTTAATGACAAAGAAGTTACAATTTGAATAACAAAACAAAAATATTAAACATACCTTTTCTTTATCAAAATCATAATTTTTACACACTATTATACAACATTAAACAGTAAAACATATTGCGTACGTATCCCGAATATAAACTGCCAAAAATCTTTTTCTAAACGAACGTCCTTTCTCTTGAAGGGGTGGATATCCCTTCCCCTTCTTCTTTCAATGTAATATTGGTGATTTCATTGTCACAGGATCCCCTGTTTGGAAACGTAGGACCCATGTGCGTATCTACTTCCGCACTGTTTGAACAATTCCTCGATTCTGTGCGCTCTAATGGCCACTGTTTTGGGAATACCCCAATCTTTCATACATTACTACGTTTGAAGGAAGCAAGTCTATTCCATATATAGCAGACGATTATTTAATAAAAAACTTAACATTTTAAAACAATATTTTAAAAATTAATTTCAAAGGGTTGGTAATGTAACTATTGACGATTGCCATTTTAATTTTGACAGTTACTTAACTTTTGCCATTGGCACCATAAACCAATATATCAGATTAAGTTTAGGGATTAAGTTTTAAAACCTTAGAATGCTATTTCTTTCATTTATTTTTGTATGTAAATTTTATATGATAAAACTAACTGTATCTCAAACAACTGGAACTATAAATTGCAGAGAAAGAAACAGACTTGTAACAAGTCCAAAATCAGATGCTTATGATTGTGTGGATATAAAGGAACGAGATACGTTAATCCTGGCTTGTCACTTTTGTAATGAAAATGATGATGATTCTGCCAAAAACTGGTATAAAAGTGACAGACTTGGTTTAGGTCAAGGAAAAGAAGTGGTATATGATATGAAGAATGAAGAAAAAGATAATAGAGTTATATTAACAACTGACCACGACTTGGTTGTTTATAACTTTACTGAAAACGATACCGGATTGTACTATTGCAAACGATATGGTTCTGAAGGTATATCAGATAAATTTAGTTTCTTGGTGGATATTATAATATCCCAAAATAGTTCTGAATATGTGAGCGGTAATGTTTCAAAATGGAAAGATTATCACGATTCAAAAATCCACCCGATAAATGAGCAATTAAAGAAGGCGAATTCAAAGGAGTTGGCGTATTTAAAACATAGTCTAAACTTGACCTTTGAGGTTACAAACCATTGGGGTTCTTGGGGAGAATGCGATGCTTGTTTTAAACCGCAGGGAGAGGGAACGAGAAAAAAGTTTGGGTATTGCAGGGTAAAAATACTAAATAAAGCCAAGCAATACAGAAAACCGAAAAACAAAAAAGAGGAATTTTTAATGAACGCTTCTGAAATGGGTTGCGGTTCAAAGAAATTAATGGATTTGATACCTGAAGTGAGTCTTTTAGCGAAGATTATACCTTATTTTATACAGGAAGACAAATGCGACACTGTGTGTGGTAAGGATAAGCTTAAACAATTTTTGATTGGAAAAGGAACTCAATTTAAGTATAGAAAAACGTATGTTCTTCAACAAGATGCTCATTTGATTATAGTATGTCCTGAATCCTCCATAGATAGTTCAATTGTTTGGAGAAGAAATGGCAAAGTTATTAAGACTGGATATAATGACGATCATGTTCTTGTAGATTCCTTTAACAGTTTATATTTAACAGATGTAACACCTGACCAAGAAGGGAATTATACGTGTTATGTTGGAGATATGCGAATGCAACAAGTTAAGGTGTTTGTAGTAAAAAAATCGCAAATATTAACTAAAGCTTTCGTTAGATATCTAGGTTATTTAGCATTTATCCTGTCATTAACATTATCGTGCTATTGTGCAGGATTAGTTATAACTTTTAACAGACGACGTTACTTTCTGACGTTTCAGGAGCTGAAGCAAGACGAGGCAAGAGGAATCAAACACAATTTCTTGTTTTGACCGCAACTGGGAGGATACTTAAATAATTTAAGAATTATCAGTTATTAATATATATTATTATTGCTTGTAGTTTTTATATTTTTGAATTGCTTTAAATTATATGATTTTAATTTGCAAAAAAATGGCCACAGTTCTTTAAAAAGTTGCTATAAAACTGACCAACTTAGTTTCAGCCAAGTAAAAGTTTTTATTAACAACTGACCACGATTTGTTTACTTATAACTTTACTGAAAATGGTAGGTATTATAATATCCCAAAATAGTTTTGACTAGATGTGTTTGTGGAAGCACACTTGAAACAAAAGCACGGTGGAAAACCTGGACAAGTGGACAAGTGGAAAACCTATTGAAAACCTATTGATCGACAATGTTCAGGATTAGTTATAGCTTTCAATAGAAGACGTTACTTTCTGATATTTTAGAAGTTGCAGGATGAAGGAATAGGAATCAAACACAACTTATCGTTTTGACCGCATTTGGAAGTGACTGTTTGCCCAATAACTTATGGCTTAGCATAGAAGTGAAACGCGAGTGTGTTTGACACCTCCATGACAGAGCACGTGTTTTTGTGTGTCTAGTTCATCCCAAGGGATATGACGTTTGTGGAGGTTACCATAATTAAAGTGTCCAGGATTAGAAGGGTAATTGAAATTAATTATTTGGAAATTATATTAAATTGATAATTGCAATTAGCTTTTATTCCAATTAAATTATTCTAATAAAAATGTTAGTTCTAGTTGTCATTAATCTTCTAAATTAAGACAAAAAACATGCAAAACACAATTTGATTAGAATTTAAATAAGAATATTGGAATACAAAATGTAACCTTATATATCTCTTAAAATGAATGAGTCAAAAATTAATTCATATTTGACTAATTTTCATATTTCACTAATAATTAGTCAAATTCTATCAAATAAAATAGTCAAATTAGTAGATTTAAATTTTAAAATAGTTGTTAAGGTGCTGGGGTTTGAACTCAAGTTTCTCGGTTGTCAAGCGGATGTCAAAATCAAAATCAATACATTTTCCAATTAAATAATTTACAATGTATAAAAAGAGGATATTGTACAAGGCAGCAATGTGGTAATGGGGTTGGCTGTTAAAGAGGCTCGTGGAAGTGAGGTTCCACCTCTTAAGCCCCCCGCGGTTGTGGTGCCTCCCCCCACCCGACGGTCTTAGTCCCTTGTACAGGCCTTGTACTACAGGGTTCTAAGACCATCGGGAGACTGTGCTGTTGTCTAAACGCTGTGCTATTGCCACTTTTATTAATGACTGTTATATATTTGTTAATAATATTTTAAAGTTGAATATCTTTTTTTTGTTGCTGTTTTAAGCTAAACTTTTTGAATCTTTATGGTTGTTTTTATGAGCCATTTAACCATAGAGCCTACATGAATTTAAAGTTAACATTAGTTTGTTGCTAAAAGCAAGAATTAAAAACGACTAAAAAAATGGTTACTTTTTATTTTCAGAAAAAGTTGGCGAGTAATCTTAAATAAATCAAACTTGAACTATTTTAGTAAAATTAAGTTTGGTTTCTGTTTAAATATTTTGTAGAACTGTGTGATTTAAAAGAAAGTAAAAACAAATGAATCGTCACTTTTGGATCTCCTCGTATAACATCAAATATATTAGAATTCTTGAAAACTGGTACAAAGTACAAGAAAACTATTACCATAGATTTATGATTAAAAAAAATATTTTTAAACTTTTAGTGGGCCATTTTTTACTCAGAAATTTCTGAGTAAAAAATGGTCAATACATTTATGTATTTATAGAAACATTTCATGTTCAAGATTCACCCTTGCTCATCATTTACAAAACCCATATAGTGAATGAGCAATTTATGTTATGAGTTCAACTACAGGTGTTATGAATCATCGGCTAAAATATCAAGGGTGACACATATTTTGCAGGCTACTTAATTAGTTGCTTGAAGTCACGCTATTTCCTCTTGGGTAATTATTGTAATATCGTCATTTTTCGTGGTCTGCAAAAACGACCGATACACCAACCAAAGGCTGTAATTTGATGGTGAAAATCGATAATATAGGCGGTGAATGCGTTATTTATTAGCAATTTTTTACGGTTTTTACTAAAACTGTTAATTATTCAAAAACTGTTAATAACTTGGATGATGTTTAAGATTAAAGATTAAGAAAATTACTGGTTGAACAACAAGTATGGAAAGACAAGAAGCATAGAATATGTTTTAAAAATTTCAAAACAAAAGTAGATTTATAACATATAATACATATATGTTGCATTTTAAACTTTTCATAAACATTTCCTGACTTTGCTTAAATATGATTTAATTATGTAAAACATATCAAATATGCAAGTAAATAATACCCAGTAGTACTGGGCCAGTACATAGTTATTTATGTCATTAGGCCAAGAAGTTTTTTTGTGCTAAGCTAAAGATAAGCCTGAAATTAAATGTCAATTTTGAAAGGTTTAGATCTAAAGCTTATTTATACAATAATAATAATAGATATAAAAATATATTTATTTTAACTTTGTTATTACAATATTTAACTCTTTATTTTGAAAAATGATTTAAAAATTCAAATTCAAAATTCAATCCCTTTATACAGGGTGATTTTAATAGCAGTACTTCTTCAGCAAATGTTCCTGAAAACCATGTCAAAATTATTTTCATTCTTCGTTACTTATTCGCCAGATTTGTTTAACTACACATAAGCATAAACTTGTGGAAAGCTTTTTTTTGTAAATTAATTAATAAATGAAAAATCTTGTTTTTTTTATCCTTGTCTTTGACTTAGTTTAATAAAATAAAATGCCATCCATGTAAAATCTATTGAAATCCATTAAAAAATAAAGATAGCATGGAAAATTAAAAGTAGTAAAGTTTTGGGTGCGTACTACGTTATTTTTGATAACTGATGATTTTAAAATAAATTTTTAAACATTTTCACTTGATAATTTTTTTTTATTTTATTCATTACAATTTAATTAATATTAAAGGGAAGTTTTTTACTTTGCCCCTCGTATAATAATATTATGTTTATATGGGTTTAATGCACTAAACATTTCTTTAATTTATGACATTTGTATTAAATGAAATACCTCTATAAAACGCATATTATCCTTTTAAGGACTACTCAGCTAAAAAAGCGAAAACATACGGTGTCTATTTCCAGTTTTAACAATTAAATGCTTCATAAAATTTAAATGTTAAAAAGTCTAAAACCGAGTTAATGGTCTCGTTAAAGTAATTTCCTTTAAAAGGTTTTTTGAAACAGGTTTTATATATTATGCATCAATATGTTTTCGATGGCTTTTATAAACTTTTAAATAACAAGCACAGTTGCTAACAAAATTAGAAACCATTGGGTATTAATTGTGTACAAGTATGTATACAAAGCTACATTTTGATCATGTGAAAGATAAAGTTACACTACTTACTTGCCGAAATTTGGTATTTTTACCACACAATGGTCCCACAAGCCCAAAACGCTGACCAACAGTGAAAATGTGACCAAAATTCCTAAAAATCTGTAACTTTAGGTTTTTGTATTCAAGGTCAGGTCAAAATTTACAAAAACAAAATGGCAGACTGAAATCGTTAAAATTAACAATAATTTGACAAAAACGAGTTTTTGTTTGTTTGATTTTAAAGGGTTTTATTGGCTTTAAAAACAAGCCTCCTTGATTTAAATGTATTTTATAAGAATATTAGCTTAGATTTGACTAAATTCGTTTCTTTATGCTAGAGTTTATTTATTTTATTTTAGACCAGACATAAGATAATTTAAGGTGTCCCTTAAAGTAACGTATTTGGTCAATTCGTTTTGATGCTTAAGAAATTTCTTAAATTGTTGCTTGATGATAATTAAGAATTAAAATACCACTTTATTATTAGAGAATTTTGCCTCTTCAAGGAATTTTTTTTAACAATTTTCTGGGGTTTGTACATCATATTTTTTTGTCGCCACCATTATGAGATTATGAAATTAGTCAGTATTAATGATAATGTTTATTAATATTTAAATCTCCCATACATTATTATAATGAAAAAAAGGTATTGATTAGATGAATGCACTCGTTAATAGTGTGGTTTTTAACATTAAATAAATGAAATTTGTTCATTGGAACAATGAATGTACCTACTCGTTAGAGCAACGAATCTGTATTTATTAAATTAATGTTTAAAGTTCATTGAAACAAGGAATGCTTTCGTTAAAGCAACGAGTCTGTATTTATAGAATTGTTCATTGAAACAATAAAGGCAACCGTTAAATCAACAAATACGAGGTGTGTTCAGAAAATAACGGGAATTGTTAAATTTTGCGGGTTCGGAGGGTCCGGTTGTCATAAAATTTTCTTTATTATGTTGCTATACATGCCCCCGAAGAATGCTAAAAACTTTAGCAGTTTTCATTGTTTACTTTGTCTGTGGCAGCCGCTAAGGTTAGACGTGTTTTATGAGCTCGGCTATTTTTCGTTCGTTAAAAGAAATGGATCAAAGAATATGTATCCAATTTTGCTTAAAAAATGAAAGTGAGTCTGCTATAAGTAAAACAAGAGTTTACAAGTGGTATAAGAGTTTCCAAGATGGCCGTGAAGACGTTGAAGATGACGAACGCCCCGAACGCACAAGCACATTAACAACCGATAAAAAAAGTGGAATAAATGGTTATAAACCATCAGAGAAGTCGATGTTGGTATATCGATTGGCTCATCCCATGAAATTTTTTCGAATGTTTTGGGTATGAAACGAGGTGGCAGCAATATTTGATCTAAAATTGTTAAATTTTGAACAAAATTTTTGGCCAAAAACAATACTGTAATGATTCCCCAGCCTCCATATTCGCCAGACATGCCTCTGTCTGACTTTTTCCTATTCCGAAAAATAAAGAGAACCTTAGGGCCTTCGTTTTGCAAGCATAGATGACATTAAAAGCGCATCGCTGAAAGAACTAAAGGCTATCCCAAAGATCGAGTTTTAGAAGTTTTTCGAGTATTGGAAGAAG